TCGCTCTCTCCCCCCTTCTCCGGATGCCCGCCTCGCCTGCCCGGCGCCCCCCTCTCCCCTCTCGCCTCGCTCGGCGTCTCGCGCGTGACCGTCTTCTCTTCGCGGCCCCCCCACAGCGCCTTGCACACGCCTCACCTTTCCACGGTGTGTGTCGACGCGCTCTACTTGCGCGTTTGTGGACGTCTCTTCCCTCTCCCCCCTACACCCTTAGTTGTGACACCTGCATGCGCCCAACGTTGGAGGCTTGTGCTTAGTTTTGTCTAACAATGCGTCATGATCTTTTCGTTTTCAGAGTTGACACACACGCGGAGACGAAACCACCTCGCCCGGCCCCGGGGTTGGCCTCCACGCTCCAGCCCCCAATTTTATCGAATTTATTTCAAAATCTGCAGGCGCGGAGCGCCTGCGAAAATTTTGGAGAAATTTGCGGTCGGGCCCCTGATTTTCATCAAGATCTTTCAAATTTGCGGTGTGGAGTTGGGGGTCCGGTCCAGGTCCGGTCGGCGTCGGGTTCGCGTTCGGCCTTAGTTAGGGTTCGGGTTCGGGTTCGGGGGTTAGGGTTAGGGTTAGCAAGGGTTTTAGGGTTAGGGTTAGGGTTAGGGTTAAAATTAGTCTTGTTGTGTCTGTATATGCCAGCGTTGCAGGGTTCTGCGCTGAGGTCTGGCCCCAGCGCCGACGAGTAAGACTCAGCCCCGTACGCTGACCTAGGGGGTTAGGGTTAGCGTTAGGGTTAGGCAAGGGTTCTAGGGTTAGGATTAGGGTTAGGGTTAGGGTTAGTCTTGTTGTGTCTATATGCCAGCGTTGCAGAGTTCTGCGCTGGGATCTGGCCCCAGCGCCGACGAGTAAGACTCAGCCCCGCACGCCGACCCCACCAAATGCCCCCTCGGTGTAGGCGGACAGTAATGATGCCGCGCGGGCGGAGTGGCGGACACGAGGACGCTGCCGTCGGACGAGGGGTTGCTATCATACGCAAGCACGAGCCGTCGGTGACGCGACGGCGTCATCACCGTTGGCCAGCATAGAAGCGCGAAAACCTGCCCGTGTGTCGGATGCGTCCCCAAACTTGTAGCGCTACATCTTTGGACACACACCGGCGGGCGCTTTCGAGGCGACCGGGAGCATTTTTTCTAGCCACATGGACCTTTTTGCGGCACGATAGCTGGGCTGCAACATACGTGTACCTACACTCGACTACAGCTACGACCTACGACTGCAACGGCGCGCAGCGCCGAAGAAAATTTTGGGGCTTCTCGAGCGGCGGCCGGTGTGGACGCCGTTGTTTCGCAGCTCGGTCGGGGGGGGGCGCCCCTGCGTTTCCCTGCGGTCGGTCGAAAATCATTAAGTGTGCGCACTTGTACCCACCGGCACGCCCGTGCGCATGAGTGGCGCCATCCTCCCAGCCCGCCTCGCCGACCTGACTCGGGGCGACCTTGCCTCGCTGCGCGCCTTCCTCTCCGGGCGGCGGACGCGCGGCACGTCGCTCGCGGCCCAGCTCGACGCGCGGCACGACACCGAGAAGCAGGACACGCTGCTCACCTGGGCCGCTCGTCACGGGCAAGCCGAGGCGGTGCGGCTGCTGCTCGAGGGCGGCGCGAGCGTCGGGGCGGCTGACAGCGGCGGCGCTTCCGCGCTCCTCCTCGCGAGCGAGGGGGGCCACGTCGACTGCGCCAGGCTGCTCCTCGAGGCGAGCGCGGCGATCAACCAGGCCGATGAGCAAGGCGCCACGCCGCTGTACGTCGCGAGCCAGCAGGGCCAGGTCGAGTGCGCCAGGCTCCTTCTCGAGGCGGGCGCGGCGATAGAGCAGCCCATGGACGACGGCACCACGCCGCTGTTCGTTGCGAGCTTCAACGGCGAGATCGAATGCGTGCGGCTGCTCCTCGAGGCTGGCGCGGCGGTCAACCAAGCGGATTCTGAAGGCGTCACGCCGCTGTTCATCGCGTGCCAGGAGGGGCATTTCGAGTGCGCCCAGCTGCTTCTCGAGGCCAGCGCTTCAGTCGACCAGGCCGATGAGGACGGCTGCACGCCGCTGTTCATGGCGAGCCAACACGGCCACCCGGAGATCGCCCGGCTGCTCCTTGAGGCCGGCGCGGCGATCAACCAAGCCAAGCAGGAAGGCGCCACGCCGCTGTACATCGCGTGCCAGAACAACCACCTCGAGATCGCCCGGCTGCTCCTCGAGGCTGGCGCGGCGGTCGGCCAAGCCACGGACAATGACGCTACGCCGCTGTACATGGCGTGCCAGAAGGGCCACCTCGACGTCGCCCGGCTGCTCCTCGAGGCTGGCGCGGCGGTAAGCCAAGCCCGCAACGACGGCGCCACGCCGCTGTACATCGCGTGTGAACTCGGCCGCCTTGAGTGCGCCCAGCTGCTGCGCGACGCTGGCGCTGGCATCAACCAAGCGATGAACGGCGGCGCCACGCCGCTGTTCATAGCGAGCCAGGAAGGCCAGCTCGAGTGCGTTCGGCTGCTTCTCGAGGCTGGCGCAGCGATCGACCAGGCCGATGAGCAAGGCGCCACGCCGCTGTTCGCTGCGTGCCAGGACGGCCACCTCGAGGTCGCCAAGCTCCTCTCCTCCTACGGCGCCTCCCGCGCCGCTACGCCCTTCGGCACGCCCGAGGAGGTTGCAACCGAAGAAGGCCACGCCGACCTCGCCGCCTGGCTGGTCGCCAGCCGCGGCTGGGCGCCGCTCGCGCACCTTGAGACCCTCACCGCCGCCCGCGCCACCTCCCTCCTGCGCAGCGGCGCAAGCTTGCACGAGGGCGAGCCGACGCCGCTGCGGCGCGCCGCGGGCGGCGAGGGCGAGGCGGCGGCGCTGATCCGGCGGGCGGCGGCGCCGTGGTCGCCGGCAAGCCACTCGCTCTTCCCCGCGGCGGCCCGTGCGCGGGCGGCGCTCCTCGTCCTCTCGATCTACGAGATCCACGAGCGGCACCATCTCG